TTTTCTTTAGAGAAATATCGAATCGTGAGGAGTGTTGCTCTAACCTAACTGCACTTTGCATTTTGACAAGTTAACAACTACACAGATTGCTCTATACTATCTAAACCGTAAAAGATACAAAAAAACTTTGTTCGTACGAAAGATGCAGAATAAAATTACGAATAAAATGGTATAAAAATGGTTAAGTGTGTTCATATAATTTTCTCTAGGTTTTCCGAATTTCCCGAATTTTTATGACGGCAACTCGCCTGTAGGCCACACCGTGCGAAATTCGAAGTTGTGATATATGGAAAAAGAACTAAGAATTTTGAGACCTTTCTAATGATGTATAATACTTTATATGTTTTCTTTAGAGAAATATCGAATCGTGAGGAGTGTTGCTCTAACCTAACCGCACTTTGCATTTTGACAAGTTAACAACTACACAGATTGCTCTATACTATCTAAACCGTAAAAGATACAAAAAAACTTTGTTCGTACGAAAGATGCAGAATAAAATTATGAATAAAATGATGTATAACTCCATATATGTCATAATATATTTTTCATGAGATTTTTCAATTTTTCCTTTAAAAAATGTTTTAAATTTTTTGCTGGCTTTAAATTCATTTGCGGTTTATGATTTTTTTTTACAATATTGTTTCAAATGATGTAAACAGTTAAATTAGCGAGGTGCCTCAATATGCAAAAAATTGGCCCACTCTAATATATATATATATATATATATATATATATATATATATATAGCGAAAAATATAAAATTAATTGAAAAATCAAATAAATTTTGATATTATTTACACGTGAAATTATAAATATCAAATAAAAATAATAAAAAAAATTATATCTGAATCGGGAATTGAACCCCGGAGCAAAAATTAGAACTCCACGACCATAGCCACTCGGCCAATCTGCTGTTGATAAGGAAAAACATCGCAAGCTATGCATGCCGCGCGCTGCTACAATGCAAACTTTAATTAACTTTTATAATTAAACCGCTTTTCATAGGCCTCCTATATTTTACCACGGTCAGTTTGGGCATCAAATCTACCATTGTGCCAAGTTTCATCAAAATCCGAGACGAGCAACGCGCGGGTTCTCCTTTTCAGATATAACAAGATAGCAAAAATAATTAAAGTTACAGTATTTGTATAATATATTTGAAAACGTTTAAAATTTCTCGAATTTCCAGCAATTTGAATTCGAAATGAAGGTTTCTGAACATTTTACTGGCATACCTAAAAAAAAAAAATGGATGTGTGTGTGTGTATGTATGGATACATTATTTCGGTCACGTTTTCGGGTGCACGGTTCAACCGATTTGAATGGTTCAAAAAACATTCGATTCCTATTGATAAGGAGATGTGCTAATTAGTTTTTGGCAAAGGCAGCCCCAGCCGTTTCTGAGATACGAAGCAAAGAGTGCAGAAAATAGAAATCGAGTTTTTGAGAGATCGGAGCATCCGATTTGAATGATTCAAAAAACTTGCAGCTTGTGTTGACAAAGCCGTTTCTGAGATACGAAGCAAAGAGTGCAGAAAATAGAAATCGAGTTTTTGAGAGATCGGAGCATCCGATTTGAATGATTCAAAAAACTTGCAGCTTGTGTTGACAAAACAATTGCTTTTAGAGAAAAAAATTTCATTCATTTTTTCTTTTTTTGTAGATCGAAAATAATTCTAATTTCAATTTTAGTTCTGGCTAAAGTTTTAAAGCTTACTTTTATACTTTAAATGAATATTTTTGACTATGTGATTCAGTCAAGTTATAGTAATCGCAAAAAATCGAAACTGAAAATTTTTATATATCTTTACGTTTCAAAGGTTTCTGAATAATCTGGCATACCTTAGAAAAAATGGATGTATATGTGTGTGTATGTGTATGTGTATATGTGGGTGTGTGTGTGCGGATGCAAATTTTCGTCGACGATTTAGGGAACACCGATCAACCGATTTGAATATTTCAAAAAATATTCGTTTTGTATTGATAAGGAGACGTGCTGATTAGTTTTTGGCGGCGGCAGGTTCAGCCGTTCCGTTGATACGAAGCAAAAAGTGCCAAAAACTGTAACTCAGTTTTTAAGAGAACGGAGCTTCCGATTTTAATAATTCAAAAAAGATTTTATTTGTATTGACAAATTGATTAAATGATTTTTGGGAAGGCAAGTCCAGGAGTTATGGACTCTCAATAAAAATAAGTTAAAAAAATGTCATTTAGCGTTCAAAAATATTTATTGGACATATGTACATCAAATTATCAGATATTTTAGACAGATTTTATTAATGTTTACACATTTTGTGTAATTTTTTTTGGTTCCGTACCAAGATTTTTAATTACGGTACGGGAAGTTCCAGCAATTTGCCATAAGGCACGATGCCATGCACCCCACTTGTTAATTGGTGTTTCCATAAGATTTAAATATCGTATTTTGCTTTGTAATTCTGAAATTAATGAATTAGTGAAAAGCGCGGTAATAATATATCTAAATCTTGATACTTTAAATGTGTCAACTTGTTTTAAATAGAATCAGTTTGAAATTAGGCTAATTAGGTTAGTGCACTTGCAAATACTATTAATATTATACAGGAACATTTATATATCCCGTGCTTTAGAGTGTGTAAACTATTCATATATTTTTCTTAGCTATATAGCAGTGTTATTGTTATTAACTTCCCGTAGGGCAAGTTATAGTAATCGCAAAAAAATCGAAAATGAATTTTTTTATATATCTTTACGTTTCATAGGTTTCTGAACATTTTGGCATACCTTAGAAAAAATGGATGTATGTGTGTGTGTGTGTATGTGTGTGTGTATGTGTGTGTGTATGTATGTACGTGTGTGTATGTATGTGCGGATACAAATTTTCGTCGACGATTTCGGGAACACGAATCAACCGATTTGAATAATTCAAAAAACATTCGATTTGTATTGATAAGGAGACGTGCTGATCAGTTTTTGGCGAAGGCAGGTCTATCCGTTCCGAAGATACGGGGCAAAAAGTGCCGAAAATGGTAACTCAGTTTTTAAGAGAACGGAGCGTCCGATTTAAATAATTCAAAAAACATTTCACTTGTATTGACAAGATGAAGAATCGATAAAATTTTCACAAAGGTAGGTCTAGCGGTTTCGGAGATATGGAGGAAAAAGTAAAAAAAATAGCCATTTGGCGGTAAAAAATGATCATTAGACATATGCACATCAAATCATCAGATATTTTATAGAGATTTTAACAATAAGTATACATTTTGTTAACATTCCTATGCTTTGGTTCCGTACCAATGCTTATGCGTTAGACAGCGACGCGGCGCTTACGCGCTTTATATTTTGTCCCTATGCAGTTAAATAAGTACGATGGCTTTGAAACAAAAGTTCAGATCTTCCACAATATGTCAAAATAAAGAAAAAAAAAATTTTTGTCAAAAAAAAAAATGAAAAAACAAATTTTTTTTTTTAAATTTTTTTTTCAAAAAAAAGTAATTTTTTGTCCATATATATATAGTTTCTCAAAAATCTTATTTTTTCAAAGTACATTTTTTTCAAAAATGTTAATCGTTTTTAAAAAATTAATAATTTTTGGTACGGGAAGTTCCAGCAATTTGCCTTAAGGCACGATACCTTAATTGCCTTAAAACAGAATTTCACTTACAGCTAGTTATTATTATTTTCAGAAGAATTCGTATTGAGTTTTTGGCGAAGACAAGCCTAGCCGTTCCGATACGGGGCAAACAGTGCCAAAAACCGTAACTCAGTTTTTAAGAGAACAGAGCGTCCGATTTTAATAATTTAAAAAACATTTTACTTGTATTGACAAAGTGACCAACTGGTAAAATTTTTGGGAAGGCAGGTCTAGCGGTTATCGACTCTCATTAAAAATAAGTTAAAAAATTGCCATTTGGCGGTCAAAAGTGTTTATTGTACATATGTACATCGAATTATTAGATATTTTATAGAGATTTTAATATTGTGTACCCATTTTGTGTCAACATTTTTGGGTTTCGTACCAATTTTTTTAATTTTAAAATTTACGTATATGGTTCAAACAAGTGTCCTTCACATTTTCGACAATATGGAATAACCGATTTAAATAATTAAAAAAACCTTTGGTTTGTATTGATAAGGAGACGTGCTGATTAGTTTATGGCGAACGGGGCAAAAAACATTTTACTTGTATTGACAAAATGAACAACTAGTAAAATTTTTGGTTAGGCAGGTCCTGCGGTTATGGACTCTCAATAAAAATAAGTTAAAAGAATGTCATTTGGCGGTCAAAAATGTTTATTGGGCATATGTACATCAAATTATCAGATATTTTATAAAGATTTTAATATTGTGTACATATTTTGTGTAATTTTTTTTTTGGTTCCGTACCAAGATTTTTAATTATGAAGTCTTTTTATATGGTTCAATCAAATGTCCTCGACATTTTCGACAGTATGGAATAACCGATTTGTATGTATAAAAAATCATTCGATCGCGAGGCGATTTTGCAAAAGGCAATTTTGCCGTTTCGGAGTTATGGAGCGTAAAATGTGTAAAAACGGTTAGGCAGTTTTTGAGAGATTTCTTTATTATTTATTAGATTAATTCAAAAAACATATTACTTGAGTAGATGGTGTGCAAAAAATATTCTTACAAAAAATTTAGTAATTTTGAAAATTAAAAAAAAAAACAAAATTTTCAAAAAAAATTCAAAGTTTCAAAACATTCAAATTTTCCAAATTTTTCATCATTTTCAAAAAAAAAAATGACTCTTGTAAACCTACACATAAGTTGTTCATAAAATACGCTAATTGCCCAATTTAAAAAGCACTTATAAATTTACAGTATGTATTTATAATAAATAATCTATTTGAAAATCTTCAAAACAATTATTGATTATTTTCATTTCTCGAATGTTTAATTACGGTACGGAAATTTCAAGCAATTTGCCTTAAGGCACAATTCCATGCGCCCCACTAGTATTGATCGTGCTTTTAATATAGGTTTGATTTACTTTATTACAGCGATGCAACCAGAAATGGAGACTTGTGTTCAGTATCGATCAGGAGATGAAGGATACCTAAATCGATCCGATATTCCTGAGGATAAAGTTTCAATGTCAATTCAACACAACATGCCGCTTGAGTGTTTATGGATAATAAAAGTTCCAGAAAATTGGAAGGTAAATTTTTGTAATATTCAACTGAAATTGCAAAGTGTTTCGTGTTAATTTTAGAGAGAACATCAAAATTCTTTTCTTTACTTTCTATTTGATTATGAAAGTACTAATAGACTAAAGTACTAACTTGTGTTATATATTACTTCATATCAGGGCCGGTTCTACCTCGTATGCAAAGCATTCGAAAAATGGTGGCCCACGTCTTAGGGGGCGCCAAAACGAGATTAGGAAATGAAATTTATAGTCTGTAATTTATTAGCATCTTTTACTAATTTTTGAACAATACTTTTAAAATAAGTTAAATATTTTATTTTAATACAATAATCTGATACTCTGTATCAGAGGGGAAAGTAAAGATGAATACTAATGTTACTAAAAAATAAGTTTACGATGCAATTTTGGATATAGCAATAACGAAAAATTAAATAAAAAAATTCAACATTAAATTCGAGTATTATGGTTTGCTCAAAAGAATATTATGCGATTTAATAATATATTGTAATAATAATTGCTGGAACTTACCGTACCATAATAAATTATTTAAGAAACATTAAATGTTTTCAAATATATTATTATAAATGCTTTAACTTTTGTTATTCATAATTTATAGACAAATTATAAGAGCTTGTAGATTGAACAATAACTTTCATATGTGTTTACTATTATTTTTAAGAATTATATTATTCTTAAACTTAAAAGTTAAAATTATTCATTTTATGTTTATAAAGTCAGTCATTGAGAAAAAATGCGAAAATATTCATGTAATTTTAATGATAAGAAAAAAAATTGCATACAAGCGCTAAGGCTCTCAGGACCGGCCCTTATTTATATTATGTATTATTTGTTGTTTTACAATATTATATAATGAATAGCAGTATCCAATTAAGCAATGCTGCAATATACATATAAATGTAAATCTGAACAAAAATGCGATTCTGTTGCGCCTAGTTATCAGATGGAATATAGCGCACATATCTCTATTGATCGCTTCTTCAATATTTTTTAAAATTTATTTATCAGTGATAATCCAAACAATCCAGGTAGTGAGTGAGCCACATTTTATGCGCCCATTGGCGGGTGCATATATACTCAGACAATATCGTTTTGATCTTCGAATAGTACTACATATAACAGTGAGTATATTCAGTAAGTTAGTGTTAGTGTTGTTCGTGCTCCGCCGTAATTGTTCTGAATTATGTCCGAAACTGGAGTAATTAATAATGAATGCTCTGAAGTAATATCAAAAATCATCAGAGTCGCTAACAATGTAAGCATGTCAGAAGATTCCGAAAGTGATTTTGAATCCACCAATTCAATTTTAGTAAATAACCAACCAAGTACATCGAATCCTGATAACTGGCATATTGTAACCTACAGAAAGAGACTAGGTTCCCCAATAGAATTACGCAGTGGGCAGGCAAAAACAAAAGAAAAACCAGGGTATTGGCTTAATAACCCAACAAAAACAAAAAAAAACTATTTTGAACTAATGCAAAAGGTACCCGAACCGAACAATCAAATAGTAAACAAACCTAACCCCCCGTCTATATTGGTCACAGTTTATGTTATAAGATTATTATTTCATTTTACAATTAGCGACGCAGCATCTAAAGTGCTATAATCTAAAGCCACCGATCTTTCAAATGCTATAAACTTTAAAAAAATTGTCAATAATTTGAAAAGTATTGGCATGAAAGTATTATTGAAATTTAATATTATATGCAAATTGTGTAGTAGCAAAATGATTTATCAATCATGAGTTTTTTTTACAAAAAATTTACTAAATAGACAGGACAGACAAGATGGAAAACGAGGTGCGGCTATATTTGTTCGTCGCAATCAGCCTTACAATGTGGTGGCAATTCATTTAGGCTCTTTGGATGCAAAAAGATGCTAAAGTTATGGAATTTACTTAATGTTACAAAATATCTCAGTAAATGAATGGAATTATCTTCTTTCGCGATTTTGCAAAGTCATGAATGATTTATGTAGGATTTTCACATGATTTCTCTAGAGAGAAATGTTTACTTTAAAATGATAGTATTATAGGACCAAGAAGTATGTATAAGTCCAATTCTATATGTCTTGTATGTAATGGATATATAATATATTAGGGAACCGGGTACTAAAATCATGCAATATGCAGACGATGTTGTAGTATATGTGAAGAAACATAGCCTTCAAAATGCTATAGATGCAATGTCTCGGAATATTGAACACTTTCAATTTTACTTGTGGAAAGTGGTGAAATGCCTTTAAGCCTTAGAAGGCAATATCTAAGCAAATAAATAAACTCTTAGTACAAAATACACTAATTATAGATAAAATAGGTAAGGTTGCTACAGATACGGTAGTGTGCTAGTACTGGAACACGAAACCAATTCCTAGTTCGGCCTGTAACAAATATTAGTGAAGGGATGGTCATATTATAATATTTTTATATAGACAGTAATTTGAATATGTATAAGATTTTCAATGTTGATAATGATAATTTAAATGAATTTAAATTTATTTTTACGGATTGCGCTAAACCTAAAATTATGGCAGGTTGTGCGGTGTTTCAGAAAAATTTAAATATAATATTAGGCTATAAACTTCCTGATTGTGTGTCAGTGTTTACGACGGAATTGATTGTAATTAAAAAGACACTGGACTTAATATAAAGCTTCAATTTTCAGAAATCGGTTTTATATACAGGCAATAAAAGTTGTATTGTAAAATTGCAAAACTTGTTCCGTATATCAAAATTACTTGATGCAGAGTATAATGAAATATGGAATAATATTGCTAGTTTATTAGGCACACTCTGGGATTTTATTGAATGAATCAGCAGATAAATTAACAAAGAGGGCTGCAGAGCATGTGTCAGAGTTAAAGATAGCCATGCAATATTTTTTTTTAACTTGCCGTATGGTAAGTTACTGTAATCATTTAAAAATCGAAATTGAAATTTTTTACATTGCTTCACGTTTGGAAGGTTTCTAAACATTTTGGCATACCTAAGAAAAAATGAATGTATGTGTGTGTGTGAGTGTGTATGTGATTGATACTATTTTTCGTCCACGTTTTCGGGCGCACGGATCAACCGATTTGAATGATTCAAAAAACACTCGATTCCTATTGATTGGGAGATGTGCTGATTTGTTTTTGGCAAAGGCAGGTCTACACGTTTTGGAGATACGGAGTAAAGAGTGCAGAAAATGGGGGAGAAGTGGTGATTAGATTTTGGCAAAGGCAGGTCGAGCGGTTTCGGAGATGCCGAGCTAAATGTGCAAAAAATTGCAGTTTTTGAGAGAACTAAGCATCCGATTTGAATGATTCAGAAAACATTCTGCTTGTTTTGACAAAGTAATTGCTTTTGAAACATTTGGAAAAAAATATTTTCGAATTTTTTTTTTTTCAATTTTTTATTCTCAATTTTTTTTTGTTGTATATCGAAAATAATTCAGATTTAAATTTTAATTCTGGCTAAAGTTTTGAAGCTCACTTATATACTTTAAATAAATAATTTTAACTTTGTAATTCAGTTTACATAACTCTTATAAATATTAGACAACGTTACAGTATTTATAAAAATCTATATGGAAACATTTAATATTTCTCGAACATTTCGTTACGGTACGCGAACATCCAGCAATTTGCCTTAAGGCACGATGCCATACAAAACTAGTTATGCTTTATCTCAGTCACGTGGTAAGTATTATATAGGTATTAACACTGTAGTTGATAAAAAACTATGGCAGGAGCAATTCAAAGAAGAAGACAGAAGGGTGTTAGTAACAGTAACTAGATTGGGACTAAATCACGGACACTTTCTATCTCATATGTTTCGGTTGAAACTTTTGGAATCAGTATGTGCATGCGGCGGTGCAGCAGGAACTTGCAAGCGCATTGTAATGAAATGCAAAAAATATGAAAACCAAAGAAAAATATTGTTTGATAAATTATATCATTTAAATCATTTTAAGAAACGTTTTAATTTATTTACTTGATTACAATTCTCAAAATGTTATAATCTGTTATGTGATTTTGTGAAAGACTGTAAAATAAGTATTTAAGTGTATTTAGTTAATAGAAAAATGTATATAGTGGATAAGATAGAAAAATAGTGTAGAATAGAAAGATATTGTATAGAACATAATGTAATATAGTAGGTGGCTATATGCTGAAAGTTAGCAAGGTCATTGAACAAAAATAATAAAAAAACAGTACAGTTTTTTGGAACACGCTATCTTGAAAACAAACTTAACCTGCGTGTGTGCTTCACCTGTTTAGGTGGTTGTAGTACTGGCAGACATGATTCAAATAACTTCCGAAAATGACAAACCCGATTATAAGAATAATGATAAATAACGCGGAGAAAGAAAGTCTAAATAACAAAACACTCGGTTCATAAAATTACATTTCTAAAACCTTTAAAATAAAGTAAGTTTTATAAAACATACTAAAATATTACGGCCCTACGACAAGTCGTTTAATTTTAAAAATTCTTTGAAATTTGCAAAAATTAGTATCTTTTTTTTGTCAAAATTAGACCTTCTCTGCTAAATATAATTATTTTTATAGATTTCAGAATGAAAATAAAATAACAAAAAAATAGACCTTCCAGCGGCGTTCGCTCAAAAATTCCTGAACTGATATCAGAAATTTAAAATCCATTTGATGTATCTCAATGAGGACTATCGTTTGTCAGTTTTGTGCAACGATCTGCCAAGCCGTTTTTTTTGTAATTTGGAAAAAAGTGTTAAACTTTTCGTCTACATTTAAGCTCATACTACCGAATCGATTTTTTAAAATTAAAAACTGTTCGAAAGATATTAGTTGGGAATGATACTGATTAGTTTTAGGTGAAAATCTACTGAGCCGTTTTCTTGTAATTACACGTTGAAAAAAAAATTGAAGCCGATTTTTATGAAACTTTTTTTGGCGATATATATCATGATCTTATAGAACTTACCAAAACATTATTGCCTTACGACAAGTAGTTTAATTTGAAAAATTTA